CCGCGGGGCCGAGTCTGAGGCGGGGCTCGCTCCCGCCGCGGTGGGGCCGCGGAGGCGCCGCCGATGCCGCTCCTGGCCGGGTCCCTGCGGCGGGCGGTGGCCGTGCTCTCGTTGTCCGTGGTGCTGTCGGCCCGGAGCGCTGCCCAGCGCCGCCCGGCACACAGGTACCGCGGGCTGTGCGGGGGAGCCGGGCCGCGCCCCGGAGCCGCGGCCGGTGTCGCTGCCGGAGGTCGGTGCCCTGTTCTGCGGGGAGCAGCCGCCTCACGGCCCGGCCGAGATCCCGGGGCTGCCCTCTGTCCCGGGGCTGCCTTCCATCCCCTACCAGCGCAGGGGGAGCTCGGCGCGGGGTGCGCGATGGCGCTGAGGGGTGTCCCTTTTGGGCATGGCAGAAACGCAAACCGGCCTGTCCTTTGAAGTGATGTAATTACTGAAAAATACAAAAGGAAAGTTGCCCTTTTCCACATCTCTGCTAAGGGTTTGTGGCTTTTTGAACTTCAGGTGTTTTGTGAGTTGGATATTAGGAGGAATTTCTTCACAGAAAGGGTGGTCAGGCGTTGGAATGGGCTGCCCAGGGAGGTGGTGGAGTCACCGTCCCTGGAGGTGTTTAGGGAAAGACTGGACGTGGCACATGGTCTAGTTGACATGGCGGTGTTTGATCAGAGGTTGGACTCGATCTCAGAGGTCTTTTCCGACCCAATTGATTCTGTGAATTGTGCTTTTGAGACCATCAGCTCAGCAGTGAACGTCTTGCTTTGAACGTCATGCTTTTAAGTGTTCATATATATTTAGTAGAGTATCTTCTGCTTCAAGTAGCTGATGATAAAATTCAGACTTGTTGGTCCTGCATACATTTGGTATGGTACATCACTGAAAGAAGCAGTGATATATTACTGAGAACTGTCTTCTGGAAAGAGCTGGGTCTATTCCACTTGCTATCATGTACCCTGCAGATCTGGTATTAGATTACCGCTTAAAACCTAATGAATGAGATGCTATATTTCTTTTTTGTTGTTGTTTATTTTTCAGTAACTCATCTGCAAACTGTTGGTCCCATCTTCATCCTGTGAACATGTTCAACAGTTACAATGATAAGTTCTACCACAGCAAAGCTCTCACCTCCCCATATCCAGGATCACACGTTGAGCGTAGCCAAGTTCCTGAAGATAAAGTGGGCTGGCTGACGGAATGGAAAGATTATAATCCTGTGGAGTACACTGCAAAATCTGTTTTGGCTGGACCCAGTTGGGCAGATCCCCAAATCAGGTGAGTGGAAATGGTGACTCTTTTCTTCTATGAACATGGAAGCAGGGAATAGTGACAACCTGAGTTAAGAAGAGCATCAGCTTAAGTGATGTGTGATTTTGCAGTGATATGTGAAAGTCAAGTCTAAGAAAAGTGTTGGTTAGAGAACTGAGTTGTTTGGGTTAGCTGTGAAGGTCTTTGACACATGATTTTACTGAGCTGTTGATGCTGTGCAGTGTTTCTCTATGTTGTGAGCTAAATAAAAATTTCCTAATTCTCCTTAAGAATTTGGGACAGTATTTTCATAATATACTTGTTTGTTCATGGATTGAATGCAACATGAGAAAAGAAAGTAGAATTGCAGTTCTTGAGTGCTCTGACTCAGGAAATATGACAGGTTGCATGCATGACTGTAATTGTTGTGGGGTTTTTGACTATGTGTATTCATTTTTATTGATTCTGTGAATATTCTCCTCTCAAGAAATGCTATATGCTTCTTGGCTAGAAAGTTAGATGCATGCATCTGGTGTAACTTGTGATAAATGTGAAAAGATGATTCCTATGTATGCACATCTGTGTAGGCTGTTGAAGTTTCAGCCTTACCTTCCTTGTTCCCCAGTGCTGTG